TGTTCCATTCTATGCATCCGATGAAGTGGGCTGTAGCCCACGAAAGCTTATGCTCAAATAAATTTGTTAGTCTCTAAGGTGCCACAAGTACTCCTGTTCTTTTTACTAATACTGTAGTAGCAGCAGCATTTCACTAGGAAGGAGTACAGAATTTTAAGCCGGGACCCAGAAGAGTGCTCCAGGGTACTGTTCTGATGGAGATTACAGCTTTCAGAGAACAGTTAAAACTTAGGCCTTCACCACATAGTTAGAGAGCCAAACTTCCAAAGTGGTGGAATAAACCCTTTGTCATAGTTAAATTCCAGCTTGCTGAATTGCAATTCATCCTACATAATATTATTTTCAGTTTCAATTGAATGACACTTAATTTTCCTTTCTAAATTGCTGCATAATGAGTGTCAGACAGTTGTTGCCTAAGTTCAGGCATAGCTGAAACAATATCTGTATGTAAGTGTTTTGCTGTTGTATCGTACACATATACTTGATAAACTAAAATTCTGGGTTTATACCTACATAATAGAACTCCATTCAGTTTTATGAAAGGATTGCTGTCATCTCACAAGAAAGGCTCATTTATTACAGTTGGAGACAAATTATACAGGTAAGGGATATTGAAATCCTTATACAGAGCTAAAAACAAGCATTATTAATTTGAACTAAGATAAGCAGTCAGACTAGTTCTTGCATCTAGAACTTCTGCTTCATGTCCGACAACCCACTAGTTTTATTTTAAAAACGACAGCAAGGCAAACCTATCATTTTGATCCAATAACTTGTACAGGTAGAAAAGAATATATGTAACTTGCTCCTGTAGAAAGCTTACTACAATTCGCTATTCTTCTGTGCAGCAGTTACAGGAAACTTAATTTGTGGAGACATACAAATACCATGTTTGCAAACATTAGAAATAACTCGAGTTGCATTTAACAGGTCCTTGCATGGCACATAATAAAGCTATACAAAGACCATTTCTGCTAAAATACTTAGTATTTTAAGATTTATCTACCATCATGACAGTTGGGATATATTTACTTACCATAAAACTGTCTATTTAATATCTGTGAAATTTCAGATTTGCTGAACTTGTCAGGATTCTTTTTGCACCAACTGCTTGTAATGGCTGAGGCAGAAGGTATGAAAATTGACACTCTCCCAATCGGAAGGGAGTCTTAATGCATCTCCTGGGAAAGATGGCTGTATATCACTCCTTTTCACCATATATCTACCCAACAGAGGACAAGAAGGATGCAAGAGTAAGGTACTGCATGTACAGGAGAAAATTCAACAGTATGTTATAGAACACCATTAGTCAATGGCATCCCCTCAGGCACCTATTTTCCCCAACAATTCCTTTCTACGGACTTCTCATAGGAAGAATGGTTTTTCATTTAAATTTAAACACTATATCAAATTCAGTGATCTTGTATGTATTATCTTGAATGTATTACAAGAGTCACATTTATTAATGTCAAGTGTCAAGATACAATAATTCTACCATTGCCCTTAAACTGCTACCATTGCACACAAAAATTAGCATATTGACATCTAAAAGATGCATCCATTTTCATATGGATGTTTAATCACTACTCAACAAAATGCTAGATTTAGAGTAGTAATTGCAAAAAAGGCTTTCTGGGGAGCACCCTATAGGTATAAAATCCAGCTGAATTGTGTATCTGATTTCTTTTGTATTATAAACCCCTAAACCCCTCAAAACTGAGGAATATGTTAACTATAGAATCATCCTGCTAAACAAGGCACTCTTGCCTCAGACATGATCACATAGTTTCTCATAAATTCAATACAAGATTTCAAGTATCAGTTAATTCAACCAAAATTTAAAAGATTCAAAGTTAAATATTTTCCTAACATACATGTATTTTATTTCCTCAGTAAAGCAGCATGTGATGTGGAGGTTATTGTACACCTGGAGCATAAGTTTTTGGAAACACAAGAAACAGGTTAGTCATAGCTTTTTAAATTTTATTTATTTATTAAACTCCCAGACTGTGTTTACATTTAACAGTTACCAGGAAAGGAAATGAATGTAGGTATTCCATTTTATATCCTAGGGAAAGGAACACTGTCAGGAAAACTCCTAATCTGTCTTATTAGTGACAACATTTAAACCACTAGTTCACTTAATAATATGTTGGTTATTTTTTGCATTTCTTTCAGCAACAACAGTGAAATTAGACTTTTTTTTGCTTTATGCTTCTCATGCAGCAGGAGAATGCTGTTTTAGGAGTTTCCAGCACTGTAAGACGCGATAAAAACAAGCAAGGTTCCCTCCACCATGTTTTGCCATGAAAACATTTCCATTCATTTTAGATTTTGTAGAGTAAAAAAAAAAAAAAACCTCTGAAGGTCCTGCAGTAAAATTAGAGAACATATGACTAATGATCTCTGATATATTATCTCATCCCCTAGCAAGGATTTTCCTCTAAATCAGCTCCCCCTCCCTTTTTGTGGTAATCTATCACTGGGTGAAATCCTGACCCCATTAAAGTTAATGGCAGTTTTGCCATTGACTTCAGTGGGTCAGGATTTCACACTGGTTTTGAAAAACTAGATTAGGGACTTCATTTTGTTGGAGGGAGTTTTTTGCTATCTGGAGGGAAGTTTCTTTCTAACTTGACATTTTCTCTTTTATCCATTGGTTCAAAGGCTGCTTTCCCAATTAGCTATCTTTAAAAAATATGGCAAGATTTAAAAAATATGGCATAGTAGCAGTGTGTGGGATCAAATGAGAGAGAAAGTGAGGCAGTTAGCCTCACAGATTCGAGGGAATATTTCCACACTTGGACGGCAACCACCATAATCAGATACAGCACTCAGCCTTACTTACTATACTTCTGTAAAAATGTAATAAAAATGGAATCACAGGACAATTGATTATTGCTACAACAGAGAAGTTAGATTTCAAAGCAAGTCTAACTATAGCACTAATTTTATACCACAGACAGGTTGACGCTTTCTGCATTTCATCACCAGTGATATGGTTTTTTGTTTTTGTTTTTGAATCTAGAGAAATGCTGTTACATTTCAGAGTTGTGGGGGGGTGAGGGGGGGAAGGGGGAGAAGGGTCATGCATATTTGAATTCCTCCCTTCATATGGGTTAACTGTGGCCTTTTGCATTTTACAGACAAGAACTTTGCCCTTTCCCTAAACATTACATACTCTGGCTTTCATAAGGCACTAATTTTTTTTTTTTTTTAAAGCAAAATAATTTTAAATATTTAAATACTGCAGATCACATGCACTCCTCCTTAGATAAACAATGTAAGAAATGTTACAGTTCACCCTTCTTTGGGGTGTGGATGTCAGGCATCCTAGTATATGCCTGGGCTTCAAAAAGTTTTGATTTGTGAACCAGTCACTCTAAACTGGTTACCCTAAATTATCAGATCCCAAAGATGAAGATAATCAATTATGCTTCTTGGCACTGGCCTATTGATAAATTTGTAGTCTAGTCACAATATTGTCCAATCAGCACAACTATAATCAGCAGCTTTGGTAATGGCCAATGTGCTAGTCAGAGTTGACTTTCCTTAAAAGATCTGAGAAATTGATTTAGCTTAACCAAGTCTGAGTGACTATCATTCAGGAGTAAAGAGTTAGAGAAGGGTTACTTCTACAATGGGGGGTCCCGGGGGGAAGGCTAACAATGAAACAGGCGTACAATATTAGAAGCCTTTATAAAAAGGAAGGGTAATTGAATTTTGCTTTCTGAGACTATATTTAACTGGAAGGCTTTTCTCCTTTTAATCATTTCAATGAAGATAATGAAACAAAAACCTTTATATAAACAGTTTATTTACTCTAAACAGCAACACAGACAAAACGCCATATAAACACAAAAGGAAGTGATGCAGAATCAAGATGCTGGCTGACTTTGGATCTCTGAGGCTCTTAAGCAATAACAACCTAGTTTCTGAAAGATAGAAAAACAAATTAAGGGGAGGGAAGGGGGTGGAGGGTATGATTTTTTCATACAGCCAGCTAGAGTCTAAATATAGTTCTAAACATTTTAAAGCATGCCTGCATCAGATAGCAAAGTAACTAGAGATACTAGTGAATTTATAGAAGTATAAAAGTTTATAATTTTACAGCAGTTGAAATACTGACATCAATATTAAAATAAAAGCAAGTTTTACATAACAATCAAAAATACAAAAGACTGAAGGAAGAGACCCTGTATGAAAAAACTGGGGGCAATTCAGCGAATTCAGAACTGTATACAAGTGGCGAATATGGAAAATGGCACACATACGACCCCCTCCCCTAAGTGAATATTAATTGTACATAGCAACATTAGATTTTGCAAAAATTTTGTAAACAAGTTCTTGCCAAACCAATCCCTTCCTTTTTAAGATGCTGTATGACAGGTGCTTATGATGGCGCAAACTTCTTGGCTTGTGCTCGAACCCTCTTTTCATATTCCACTCTGTTTTGGCTGGATATAAAAAAATAAAGGTCATTAGACGTTTCAGAAATTATGTCAAGTTGCACAATCAATACTATTTAAGTAGTTCTCATCCATATGAGACCCTCAAATTATTCCTTAAGGCAAGAGAGATTAGGCAGAGATGAAGCATCTTACGTACTCATGACAGTAGGAAAACCCATGACTGAACTGACCGACGGGTAAACAGAAAGAAAAAAAAAAAAAAAAATCTTGGCTATACCAACAGCTCACTGTTTAAACACTGCTCATTTAATTAATGAGAGGGTCATTTGCACTGTAGGACCCATTTTGTTTGGAAAGAAGTGACTAGTCAAAACAGGTTGGTAGCCCGGGTAAGACAGAGCTCACTAACATCTGTCCAGTAGGATTTGCTGCAGGAAATAGGAAGAAGATTGTATCTTAGAAGTAAAAGCATGTTGGGGAAGGAGACAAGACATTTACAGAGTTACTCTGTTAGATTTGCCACAGAGTAGATGTCTGTGAAAATAATGAAGTAATAGGAATGTCATGGTAAGTGCTCTTCATATACTAAAGTATTTAGACAGAAGGTGGGTAAGGTACTATCATGTTACCTCATCTCAAAAAAGATACACTGGCACTAGAAAAGGTTCAGAAAAGGGCAACTAAAATGATTAGGGGTTTGGAACAGGTCCCATATGAGGAGAGATTAAAGAGGCTAGGACTCTTCAGCTTGGAAAAGAGGAGACTAAGGGGGGGAATATGATAGAGATATATAAAATCATGAGTGATGTGGAGAAAGTGGATAAGGAAAAGTTATTTACTTATTCCCATAATCCAAGAACTGGGGTCACCAAATGAAATTAATACGCAGGTTTAAAACAAATATAAGGAAGTTCTTCTTCACGCAGCGCACAGTCAACTTGTGGAACTCCTTACTTGAGGAGGTTGTGAAGGCTAGGACTATAACAGCGTTTAAAAGAGAACTGGATAAATTCATGGTGGTTAAGTCAATTAATGGCTATTAGCCAGGATGGGTAAGGAATGGTGTCCCTAGCCTCTGTTTGTCAGAAGATGGAGATGGATGGCAGGAAAGAGATCACTTGATCACTGCCTGTTAGGTCCACTCCCTCTGGGGCACCTGGCATTGGCCACTGTCGGTAGACAGGATACTGGGCTAGATAGACTTTTGGTCTGACCCGGTACGGCCATTCTTATGTTATGTTCTTATGCTCTTGCTCCATGCTAAAAAAGCCACATTGACACTATCTGCCTCACATTACTACATCTTTAAATTCTCTGAATGTACTGTTTACAACCATTGCCTCCAATTCCTCTCTGCCTGCTGGATCCTGGATCCATTCCAACCCTGCTTCTGTGGTCTCCACTATATTCATGCTGTTCTCAAAGTATCTAATGAGGTTTTCTTAACTAAATCCCAGGACCAATACTCCATCCTCATCCTTTCTTGGTCATTATAGTACCACTCCCATCCTCCCAATCACTCAGGTTCATAATCTGAATGTCATTTTTTGGCTCTGCCCTCTCTATGGGCCTTCATAGCCAGACTGTTTCCAAAATATGGCACTTTTTCCTTCATATAGTCTCCAAAACCTGGTCTTTTCTTTCCAGACTGCCAAAGCTCCCATTTACACTTATCTCATCTCTGGTCTTTACTACTGAGACTTTGATCCCATAAAGCCCATTCAAGACTCTGCTGCCAAAATAATTTTCCTTTAAGGTCTTGTCTCTTCCCCCACTGCCCCTTTTGAATCCTTCTTAGAACTCCACTTTTCACCAATTCATAGATTCTAAGGCCAGAAGGAACCATTGTGATCATCTAGACTGACCTCCTGTATACTACAAGCCACAGAACTTCCCCAAATCTTTTAGAAAAAAAACAAAACATCCAATCTTGATTTAAAAATGGTCACTGATGGAGAATCCACCAAGACACTTGATAAATTGTTCCAGTGGTTAATTACTCTCATTGTTAAAAACGTACACCTTATTCCCAGTCTGAATTTGTCTAGCTTCAATTCCAGCTATAGGATCATGTTGCATTATTCTCTGCTAGATTGAAGAGATTGTTATTAAATACTTGTTGAACCTTGTAGTTATAGACTAATCAAGTCACCCCTTAACCTCCTCTGTTAAGCTAAATAGATCGAACTCCTTGAGTCTACCAGTAAGGTATGTTATCTAATCCTTTAATCATTTTTGTGGCTCTTCTCTGAACCCTCTCCAATTTATCAACATCCTTCCTGAATTGTGGGACCTCAGAACTAGACACTGTGCTCCAGCAGTTGCACCAGTGCCAAATACAGAGGTAAGATAACCTCTCTGTTCCTACTCGAGATTACTTTGTTTATGCATCCCAGGATCGTATTAAGCTCTTTTGGCCACATTGAGAGCTCATGTGCAGCTGATGAACTACCGTGACCACAAAATCTTTTTCGGAGTCACTGCTTCTCAGGATATAGAATGGGGTACTCTAAGTATGGCCTAAATTCTTTGTTCCCAGATACATATGATTATATTTATCCATATTAGAACACATACTGTTTGCTTGTGCCCAATCTACCAAACAATCCAGATTGCTCTGAATCAGTGACCCATCCTCTTAGTTATCTACCATTCCCGCAATTATTGTGTTATCTGCGAACTATCAGTGATGATTTTATATTTTCTCCCAGGTCACTGATAAAGATGTTAAATAGTGCAGGACCTAGAACTGATCCCTCCGGGACCCCACTTTAAACACACCCCGCTCAATGATGATTCCCCATTTATAGTTACATTTTGGGACCTAACAGTTAGACAGTTTTTAATCCATTTAATGTGCACCATGTTAACTTTATATTGTTCTAATTTTTTAATCAAAATGTTGTGCAGTATCAAATCAAACACCTTACAGAAGTTTAAGTATATTATGACATCACTATTACCTTTACCAACCAAACTGGTAATCTCATAAAAATATATATATCAAGTTAGTTTTAGCTGTTACCTCTCAAGAGAGAGATCTTGGAGTCATTGTGGATAGTTCTCTGAAAACATCCACTCAATGTGCAGCAGCAGTCAAAAAAAGCAAACAGAATGCTGGGAATAATTAAGAAAGGGATAGATAACAGGACAGAAAATAATATGTTGCCTCTGTATAAATCCATGGTACACCCACATCTTGAATACTGTGTGTAGATGTGGTCGCCCCATCTCAAAAAAAAATGTATTGGAATTGGAAAAGGTTCAGAAAAGGGCAACAAAAACGATTAGGGGTATGGAACGGCTGCTGTATGAGGAGAGATTAATAAGACTGGGACTTTACAGTTTGGAAAAGAGACAGCTTAGGGGAGATATGATTGAGTTCTATAAGATCATGACTGGTGTAGAGAAAGTGTTATTTACTCCTCATAACACAAGAACTAGGGGTCCGCAAATGAAACATCCACCAGTCAATGTGCAGTGGCAGCCAAAAAAGCTAACAGAATGTAGGGAATCATTAAGAAAGGGATAGATAAGACAGAAAATATCATTGCTTCTATATAAATCCATGGTACGCCCACATCTTGAATACTGCATGCAGATGTGGTCACCCCATCTCAAAAAAGATATATTGGAATTGGAAAAAGGCAACAAAAATGATTAGGGGTATGGAACAGCTTCTTGGAAAAGAGATGATGGGGGCGGGGGGGGGGGGAAGATATGATAGAGGTCTATAAATCATGACTGATGTGGAGAAAGTAAATAAGGAAGTGTTATTTACTCCTCATAACACAAGAACTAGGGGTCACCAAATGAAATTAATAGGCAGCAGGTTTAAAACAAACAAAAGGAAGTATTTCTTCACACAATGCACAGTCAACCTGTGGAACTCCTTGCCAGAGAATGTTGAGAAGGCCAAGACTATAACAAGGTTCAAAAAAGAACTAGATAAATTAATGGAGGATAGGTCCACCAATGGCTATTAGCCAGGATGGGCAGGAATGGTGTCCCTAGCCTCTGTTTACCAGAAGCTGGGAATGGGCGACAGTAGATGGATCACTTGATGATTACCTGTTCTGTTCATTCCCTATGGGGCACCTGGCATTGGCCACTGTCGGAAGATAGGATACCGGGTTAGATGGACCTTTGGTCTGACCCAGTATAGCCGTTCTTACGTTGATCTATTTGCCACACTCGGGTTTATTTGCATTAATTACATTGCCCTCCTTTAGTTCTTTATTGAACGAGTTCCTGTATCAGCTGCTCCATCATCTTGCCCAGGATTGATGTCAGCCTGACAGCTCTATAGTTTCCCAAGTCAGCCCATTTACCCTTTTTAAAAATAGGCACATTCATTTTCTTAAATTTTTCTTGAACTTCCCCAAGACTTATTGAAAATGAACATTAACAGTCCAGCAAACACCTCAGGCTTTTAAAACTATCTGATGCATGTTATCTGAACCTGCTGATTTAAAAATGTCAAACTTTCTTCTGCTTATAACATCCCACAGAGATATTAGTGGAAAGGAAAGAGTTATCACCTTATGATGAGACTGCATCATGTTTTCCCACACCCCAAATACAGAACAGAAATATTTACTGAACACTTCTGTCTTTTCTGCATTATTGTGGTTAATTCTTCCATTTCCATCTAGTAATGGACCAATACCAAAACACACAAAAACAAACAAAAACAAAAAACCCACTTATTGTCCCTAACACTGCTGGCCAAAGATTTCTCCTTGTGTCTATTGACTTTCCCAATAAATGTTCTGCAATTCCCACTTCTGATTTACAGTCACTATTATCAACTTCCCCTTTATTCCATTGTTATATATTATTTTTTTCAGTTGCCTTCAATTCCCCTCTAAACCAGGTTGGTTTTTTTAACCAGCACAGTCTTCTTCCTCAATTGTGGCTTTTTGGGCATCTAGGAATGGGTTCTTAAACGATAACCAATTATCATTCACTTTTTTTGATTAAATTCTTCCTCGCAGCTGCTTCGGTTCATAATTGCTTTCAGCTTTGTAAAATTGGCCCTATTAAATCTCTAAGTAGATATATTACTGGTCTGGACTTTATTCTGCTTGCACATTATAAATGTGATCAAGCCACGAGCACTTGTACCAAACCTACCATTAACTTTTAATTCTGTGATCAGTTCTTTATCTGTTAGGACAAGGTTTAACATACAACTCCTCTACATTAGCTGCAACACTTTTTGAGTTAGGAAACTCAACTATAATGTTTAGAAATTCCAAGGTTGTTTTTGTACTGGCAGCATGAGACCTCCAGCATGTCTCTCTCAAACTAAAGTCCTCCACGATCTCTCAGTTTTTCCCCCTACACATTATAGATAGATACATAAGGAGGCAGTTATTCTGTTCCCTAGTGTGATTTAGTGGTCTGTAGCAGGCATCAACTGGTACCCCATGTTGTACTTTCTGTTAGAACATTGATCCATAAGCATTCAAGATAACTTTTTTTTGGAGAGTCAGTGACTAACAGATTATGCCAATTTTTGGCACAGAGTGCACTCCCCTTCCCCTTTTGCCTATTTGATCCTTCCTAAATAGGTTATACCATTGATTTTAACATAATTATGTGAATCGTCCCACCAGATTTCTGTAATACCACTCGTCAAATTTACGTTAATAAATGAGCAATTCCAGTTCCTCTTGTTTGTTACCCAGGCTCTTAGCATTAGTGTATAGGCAACTAAAGAATTTCTTCCCCTCATGTCCTTTGGTTCCTTGATTCATTCTGTTCTCAACATCTCAATTTTCTGCCACTTAAGTGCTCGTGTCTTCCCTCTTTCCACCGTCTCCTTTTGCTATTAGTTTAACCCCCTCCTGACTATTCTTGCTAGCCTTTCCCCAAGGAGATTGGTCCCTCTTCTACTGAGGTGGAAGCCATCCAAGCTATACAGCCTCCTCTTCCCATAGAAGGTGGAACAATGTTCTGCAAAGACAGCCCTCCATCCTGCACCACTTACCTAGCCAGCAATTCACTTTCAGAATCTTCTGCCCTCTGTCTTTCTTTGCTTATGGGACAGGAAGGATCTCAGAGAAGATTGCTTGGACAATCAGAGATGTTCTTTCTTACCTTTAAGATTTCACAGCTTAGCCCTACACTACTTATCAGACTGATAATCTCATTGCATCCAATGCCATTTCATTCTGCCAAAGTTCCCAGCCTTCACCACCCATAAACCCACTTCTCACTAAGATCTCCATACTCTTTCCTATGCTGCCCCATATACACTGCACAAACTCCCCCAAAATAGCTGTAAATCCACTACTTTAAGACCAAAATGGCTACAGAACCTCCCAGTTCATTACAGTTAGGAATGTAATGAGGAATGATTGTGCATGTAGCTACTGTACAGGACTTGTTAACTCATCCTTCCTCTCCCTTGCTTCTACACATTAATTTCACCCAACTGTTAAGTCTTGTTAACCTAGGATTGTAAACTCTTTAGGGGCAAAGACTCTCTTTACATATCCGTACAGCATAATGGGACTTTGATTCCTCATTAGAGCCTCTATATGCTACTGTATTAAATTGCCTTATCACTGGACCTTCAACCTTAACTTTAAAGTTAGTTGGTTGTTTTATTGAGGTTACAGCATAAAACTAAACATCTCTACATAAAGCAGACCCAGAAATTATTTTCTAGAAGCTGGTTTACCTGTCTTACCGTCAATCACTCAAATGGAGACCCAGAGTTTACAAACAGCTATAAGCCAGTCAATGTGTTTAAAAACCCCCAGAAAAACCCAACAACTAACCAGTAAATTGTGTAAGCCTCTGCTTGAGCTGGGTCTTGAATATTTGGTTCATTTAGAAGTTCTTGTATTCCTAACAAGATCTGTATAAGAAAATATGGAAAAAATAATTTATGTAAATATTACTATGAAACATATACAAATCAGAACTTCTATAAATAAAATGTAGAATTGTGCACAAGACATTCCAGAATCACACAAAAGATAAGCTGACAAAGCAAGCAAAGGTGTACAGTTTTAACAGAAGAATGTTATGACCTGTTTAATTGTGATTGCTGGCCTCCAATCCTTATCCTCCTCTAAGATGGAGAGGCACACTGTGCCTGAAGGATACACATTTGGGTGGAATAATGGTGGTTCAAATTTACCTAAGGAAGAAAAGATTTCTTTATGTGCAAATCTAAGATTTTGGACCAAGTTTCATTAAATCAGAACATTTAAAAAGTCGACTTTTAGTAAAGCTGGCCATCTCCCATTGTCACAATCCCATTCAGAAAATCCATTAAGTTTTTCTGCAGTGCAGTTACCTTTAGTTCTCCCTCCTTTGTTGGGTCTACTTGTATCTCCACGTCAGATCTCAGTCACATTACTGATTAACCTGATCAGTCCAGGCCAAAATATGTTCTGAATGAACAATATTACCTATTATCCATTCTAAGATAGGAGGATTTCATTAATGCTAAATGGCACTAAGTGCAGTGAAAATGTACAGGGGATCATTTATTACTTAAAAGAACTCTGTACAGAGCAGCTCACCCAAACCTTTACTGCTTCCTCCCAGAGCTCAGATCCCACCACTATGAAATACGATGGACTGAAAGTGTATCCTGGATAATAGTTAACACACAACGCTCTTTATATGTTTAAACTGCTGTATGAACAGTCGGTGGATATTAGTATTAATGGGCACTGAAATTATGAGGAGCACAACAAACATCCTGCTTTGAAATACAGTTCCCGAAACAAGCACTGCCACAAGCAACAGCTCTTAAACCAGAGGACAGTTTCTCTTGCTATTTCACCAAGCTCTATTTAGAGTAGTTTTGTGATGGCCTGGGCCCAAAATGCAATACTACTTATATCAATACTCCACACTCCTTCATAAAATAATGAAGCAGATCAACTCAGATGACCACATGTATACATTTTTCACCACCTATTCCCCCCCTTCATTGCAAGTGTTACATTAAAGAGACATTTATAATACCTTTAAAAAGTCTCCTTACCAAGAGTTTGTCTATTTTAAGTTTCCATCATTTTTTTCCCCGTGTTTCACTTTATCTTTATGTACAAGACCAATAACTGCATTCAGAACACAACAGTGAATTTTAAATTAAGCTTAAATTGCATTTAAATCAGGACATTTCTATTCCATTTAGGTTGTACAATCAATTTTGTCCCTAAAATTAAATTGTGTTTCTTTAATACCTCTGTTTCCTTTTTAAGGACTTAAATGCAAAGTGACAGATGACTGATTCTGTAGCAAGACAGTTTCAGAGATATTCCCTATCTTTAAAATGAGGAATTCCATTAATACTGGCAGAATCTTTCAAGCCAGCTGATATTTCTCCAAATGCCTGCTGTATGTTTTTACAAGTGAAAAGGTAGGCTGTCTTATGTCACAAGCATTAAATTGGAGATCAACTGAAGAAAGAGCCTAAACACATCAGGTAAATTTCCAAGGTCTTGAAGAAACAGGACAGAAACCTTTAGGTGGCATACTGTACTCTCTCAGAGAGCATCCCATTCAATTCATTATCCCAACTATACATATAAAATGATGGGGTCCAAATTAGCTGTTACCAGTCACAAAGGAGATCTTGGAGTCATCATGAATATTTCTCTGAAAACATCTGTTCACTGTGCAGCAGCAATCAAAAAAGCTAACAGAATGTAGGTAACCATTAGGAAAGGGATAGATAATAAGACAGAAAATATCATAATGCCTCTATACAAGTCCATAGTATGCCTAAACTTGGAATACTGCATATACTTCTGATCGCCCATCTCAAAAAAAGATATTAGAATTGCAAAGAACAGAGAATGTCAACAAAAAACAATTAGGGGTATGGAACAACTTCCATATGAGGAGAGATTAAAAAGACTAGGACTGTTCATCTTAGGAAAGAGACGATTAAGGGGGGACAGGATAGATGTTTATAAAAATCACGAATGGTATGGAAGAAGTGAATATGGATGTGTTATTTACCCTTTCACAACACAAAAACCAGGGGTCACCCAATGAAATTAATAGGCACCAGGTTTAAAACAAACATAAGGAAGTACTTCTTCATGCAACACCCAGTCAACCTGTGGAACTCATTGCCAGTGGACGTTGTGAAGGCCAAACGCATAACTGGATTCCACAAAGAATTGGACAAGTTCATGGAGGATAGGCCCATCAATGGCTATTAGTCAAGAGGGTCAGGATGCAATCTCAGGCTCTGGATGTCCCTACCCCTCTGACTGCTAGAAGCTGGGATTAGGCCACTTGATAATTGCCCTGTTCTGTTAATTCCTCCTGAAGTACCTGGTACCAGCCACTATCGGAAGACAGGCTGTTGGGCTAGATGGACCACTGGTCTGACCCAGTATAGCCATTCTTATGTTCTAATTGGAAAAACTTAAATCTTGACATCAATGTGCGATGAGCATCATCTGAAGCAGGAATGTGTTAAGACATCAAAAAGCAGCAGCCTTGTTTTTAAAAAGCCCTATGTGGTAATTTAAATAATAGATTTGAAAAATAATTTGTTCAAGAAATCCAGTGGTTAGCTAGGGCAACAGAACTCCATAGATAGAAAATCCATGAATTTTAAAGACAGTTTTCCTACAAATTTCCCTAATAGATACTGGAACATTAAAATCAGTAGTAGCTATATAGCTATCATAAAGCAGAATGTATTGACTCAGCAGCCAAATACCACTATTACGAACACCAAAGATAATCATAAATACAAATGGTTTCTACAGCTTGCAGTAGGATAAAAAATTGCAAAGCAAGAATTGTTATTTATGTAATACTATGTGTCCTGTATGCATATCACATGCAAAAAAGCCAAATTTATGTTAATGTAATGTTATGATTATGTTAAAGTGAAAGCACTCCAAAAATTACTACTACAACAACGCTGCACCTCCTGTGTATCTTATAGTACATTGGAACATTTAAGGAAAAGGAACAGAAAAATACGAGGTGGACACAACTTAGCTAAGTTAAAAATTGATAGAACAATCCTAACTTTTGAAAATTTGATTTCCCATCTTTAATATTTAATTAAAACTATATTTTTAAAAAACAGAATGAAGAAAAATCTGGAGCTAGGTAGCCTGAGAGCTCTTGCTGTTTGTCTATGCAGCTTATGGAGGTCTTTCGAAACAAGTACACCTCTACCCCAATACAACGCTGTCCTCAGGAGCCAAAAAATCTTACCGCGTTATAGGTGAAAACGCGTTATATCGAACTTGCTTTGATCCGCTGGAGTGCGCAGCCTCGCCCCCCTGGAGCACTGCTTTACCGCGTTATATCCGAATTCGTGTTTTATCGGGTCACGTTATATCGGGGTAGAGGTGTATGCACTTCACTCACTGCACACACATTCACACTGCTTCCACTTAGGTGCTATCCTCTTAACTTAAGGTACTTTTCTATCAAGAATGCACAATACACAATTTTCAATATAAAACTAAGCAGATGCAACAGTTGTCAGTGACGACTATGCCAAGTTTCAAAATTAAGCCATTTTTACTGGAACCATATTAGAAAAAAAGTGATCATTAATTAAAAAACCCAATCCCTTTCCCCCTAAAAAAACCTCAAACCAAAAAAAACCCCCAAACAAAACAAAAAAACCCACAGATTTTTCTAATCTCCCTGAATTTCAGTAGCTGAACAGCTTTCTTAAACTTTCTAAAGAGGCAAGCCAGGGAAAATTTTATTTTAAAGATGTATATGTAAATGCACATGAAAATAAGGATTATAACCATTTTAGTTTTAATTATAATAGGGATTAAGCATCCAGGATAATTAATGAAGTGTTATAAGAGCTCCACCCTATCAGGTAGTTTTTCATATGGCGATACGCACTCAGATTCAACATCATTCTACTAGAAACTGGTATTCTGTCACTTTACTTACATTTTGGGGGTGAGGAGGGATAGTCATCCTTGAAAAGCATCCGTAGTTTAAATAAGCCTCCTTCCCATGGTGTCTGTCAGGAAATTTCAGAAAAGTTAGTTAGATTATGGTAACACCCAAAGTATGCCAAGCACTTTCACAATAGATGGGGAGTTTATAGTCTAAAGAGAACAGAGAGAAATTAAAGGTGCATGCCGGGGAAAAAAAACATTCAAGCACAAGTAGGGCTGTTACATGACTATCTGCTATATTATATACATTTATTTTCATATTTTGTATAGGATATTTGCCCCTCTGCCTACCTATTAGGTTTTTTTAAAAACTTTTTAATTTCCTTCTTTAAAATGTATTTTGTAGTTTTAAGACACTAAGTTAATTTCAATTAAATGTTTCCTGGATTTTGTTTAAGCTACTCTTCTTTAGAAGTCTCCCATTTCTCCCTCAGTGTTGTTACTGTACTATTATTAACATCCCAATCCTATTATCTTGACCTAGGTACTGCCTAACACTATTATCGATCACTGATAATTCTTCAGTTTCTAAATAAGAATACCCCACCCACCCATGATTTTAATGACGGTAGGAATATTGCAATCCAATCTTCACTGCATGCCCTTCCCTGAGGAAAAACAACAAAAGATGAAGCTGCTCTCGTGCTCAAGACCAGCATAGGCACACATCTGAGCAAACAGGTCTCTAAATACAGACAAGGAAAGTTCCATGAAGGTTGGTGCCGATTATATCAGTCACTGATGGAACAGTGAAGGTATCTTTACAGGCTGTCTCCTCATGGAGTCTCTCTCTAGGGTGTTGGAGTCTTTACAGGCAATCCCCCTATGAAGAAGTTGGTTGAGCTACCCGAGTCACATTGCAGTCGTAATAGGGTACTGGGCCACCGGTTTTCTATCTGCTGCCACTGCACCTGGGTCAGTGTGGCCTCTTGTCATTTAGGTAGGAAGTTACTTAGGTATATCCCTTAAGGATGATGAATTAGATACAGACTACAGACATACCACTTCTCACTAAATTTCACAATGGGGGGATTACTAAAGGAGTACTCAGCTGCTGCAAAAAGTGGTGTCACTGCTTCAGTAGGGGTTGTCTCCCCACCATGCCAGTACTGTACCAATACCACTGTGTTGCATTAGGGAGCACCATGTAAGATGCAAGACAGTGGCCCTAAATACTTGGGTCACTTACGATCCCCCAGTAGCTTTGGCACCAATAAGGGAACTGCATCATCCTGGGTGAGTTGTAGTTTGGGTACATGTACTTTACCTTCTCCCTACAGGTTCAGGTAAGGTCAGAAACTGAAGAATACCCATCTCATTGTGCAGAGTTCTACCATTTGCTGAACAGCTGCACTATTCAATCATTATCTAGGTTTTTATAAAGATCACCCACCATGATATCTGAGCTTTGAAGTGAGAGATTTCTGTATCTATTTTATAAGAAATCCTAAAGTTTGTTTGTGGTTGGCTACTATGTACATTACCATAAAGAAATGTAGCCAATACAGAACTCTAATCATTTGTCAGAAAGACATCTTTCTTGTTACTCACAGTAATTTATTTAATTAATGAGTTTATATGGTGAGCTAAGATTGGGAATTTGTATTTTAAGAGTCAGCGAATTATACGAGATGTTTAAGAGTACAAGTCAGTTTTTAGCATTGCAGTAATATCTCACAGCTGCACCTGTGTACCTACTGGGTTCATGTGTATGAACAAGGCAAGTAGTGGTATACAGACACGGTCAAGAAGTTGAGAAGGCATTGACTGAAAAAGCCTAAAACTTGCTCTGCCACATAAGCATGATTTATGAACACTTCAGTTTGCCAATAAGTAAATTAAGGCATCTAGTATGAGCACATCTGAACTTCACAGGGGACATACTTTATTATTTAAATGAGGACATGCCTCTGACCACCAATAAGGTTCAAAACCTCATGATGCTATATGTCATACAAACACATAAGGCAATCCAATCCCTGTGCTCAAGAGCTTGCACTCAAATGACAAATATCTGACAGAGGGTGGAAGGAAACGGTACAAGAGCCACTACTTTGTTTCCATTGTGAAATCTGATCTAAAAAGAAGGAAAGAATATCAAGAAAGGAATTCTAGAACAAACAGTAAAAGCTAGGACAGCATTCTGATATTACTCCATCTAGTGAGGGCATAACTACGCTTGAAAAGGTGCCTTGGGCTTGTCCACACTTGAAATGTTACAGCAGCACAAGCCACTGTAGTGCTTCAGCGTAGACGTTCACTACGGCAACGGGAGGGGTTCTCCTTCTCAGCAGTTAATTCACCTCTCCGAGAGACAGTACCTAGGTCAAGAGAAAAATTCCTCCATAAACCTAGCACTGTCTACACTGAGGGTTAGGTCACCTTAACTACGTCGCTCAGGAGGTGTAGATTCTTCCCACACACTTGAGCCGCATAGCTGGGTCAACTTAACTTTTGAGTATAGACCAGACCGTTATCTATTGTTATAGGTGATTCTCTTATTTTGGATAACTGATTTATGTATTAAGTTGGCAAATCTCATTCACAGAGATTTTCCTTCTAGTTTGTATATTTTTATACAAGCACCAAGAACTAATTTGAGGTTTGCAAGTTTGGAAACCAAGGGAAACCAGATGTTAATGTGATTGCAAAGTAATGTTGAGCAAGTTGTCCAAATACTCAGGTTACTCAGAGATATTTGTCATTAACTGCAGGATGCTTCACGATTCCATACTAGATCTAAAGTTTAAATATATTTATTAATTACACCTCTACCGCGATATAATGCGACCCGATATAAAACACGAATTCGGATATAACACGGTAAAGCAGTGCTCGCGGGGGGAGGGGGGGACGGCTGCACACTCCGGTGGATCAAAGCAAGTTTGATATAACGCGGTTTCACCTATGACGCAGTACGATTTTTTGGCTCCTGAGGACAGCGTTATATCGGGGTAGAGGTGTACCTGAAAGAGGACAAGTAATGAGGTAGCAAAATTTGCAGGTGACAAATTTATTTTGGTTAGTTAGGATCAGAGAACTATGAAGAACTTCAGAGATACCTAAACAAGTAGGTGAATGGGCAACATAATGGCAAATGAAGTTCCATGTCAATAAATATGAAGTAATACACATTGGAGAGGAGAGACTAAATTACTCATACACCTTACAGGATTCTAAACAAATTATTAACTCAGGAAAGAGTCCTGTGCATCATTATAGATAATGAAGACCTCTGCACAATGTGCACCTATAGTCAAAAAAAGCAAAAGTGATACTAGGATGTGTAAGGAATGGGATGGAGAATAGTACACACAGATATTATAATGCCTTTATTATGGTGGCATGTCAGCACTATAGTTAAGGTTGTTTCCAGCTTCTGTTTAAAGTTCAACCTAAATCCCTTAACAACAACATGCTAAGTCGCATTCCTCTGAAGTTTGGTGTGCTTCCGGAGGGGGGGGGGGGTAAGTGACCCAAATTCGTGGTCATTTGAGGTAGGTGCTGCAGTGATATAAGACCTCGAAAAAAACAGCCACTTTTTAAAAAGTTTCTATGTGCTTTTGTTTTGTCCAGAGCTAGAGATTAAACTATTGATATACTGTAGGTCAAAATGGTCTCAACCAGTGAAGTTTTACCCAAAGTTGTGCATGGCACTCAGTGAACCTTTAGGGGACTCAAACCAGGAAAAGTAGTTAAGCAAACTAAGGGCTTGTCTACACTGGCACTTTACAGCGCTGCAACTTTCTCACTTAGGGGTGTGAAAAAACATCCCTTTGAGCGCTGCAAGTTTCAGCACTATAACATAGCCGTGTAGACAGTGCTAGAGCGCTGGGAGCTACTCCCCTCATGGAGGTGGTTTTTTTTGTTTTTGTTTGTTTGTTTAACAGCGCTGGGAGAGCTCTTTCCCAGCACTGGTGCCGTGACTACACAGTCACATTAAAGTGCTGCTGTGGCAGCGCTTTAACATTGCTAGTGAAGACGTGCCCATTTTTATGTTGTGCATGCAGATACGGGGGGGGGAGGGGGGGGAGCTTGAAAGGTTTCCACTCCTACCATTTTATATGCTTTAAGTTTGACTCTTCTAGGTGCACTAAAATAGGAACAGTTACTCAGATTGCTTTGAAATTTGGTGTGCCTTATGGGGGTACAAGGTAATGTTAGTGATCCAAGTTTGGGGTCATTTGACCAAGGGGTTTCTTAGTTAACCCTCCAAAAAAGTTTCCTTCTGTTGCTTTGTACTGTTAAACTGACAGCTACTAATCACTAGATGAATTACAGACCTTACTGACATTGATGGCTATGGATTCACCCTTTAATTAATATAATTAAGGGTAAAATAAGCATAAGCCCCCATCTGAGAAAAACAAAAGTTTTGGACTGAGTAGCTGGAGGTTGCTACAATTTGAGAGTCTTGAGTGGCAATTTTGTTTTGGAGGGAATGTAATCAAAGAATTTTGTGAAGAAAAATTAAACATGTGAATGCTTCCTAGGAAGGATGAGTTATTAGGGAGCAGACAATTGAGGTTGGGCCTGCAGCAAGTGGAGAAGGGTGATGCGGAAGGAGATAAATGGGGATCGGTGGCAGGAAAGGGGAGAGGTGTTAGGGGCTCAGGAGAGTGGAAGTGTGGGGCACTGGGAAGTCTGCATGGGGGTGAGTGGCAAGGAAACTGGGGGGCAAACAAGGACAGGCAGCATCTGTCAGTTCCACATTCTCCCCTCTCATGTGTGCGCCCAGATCCAGGGAACTCTTGCAGCTCTAGTGAGGTCTGAGACCTCCTCCCGCCCCCCCACCCCATGAGCTGGATTGTGGTAGGCCTTGTCCCTTCCCCCTCTCCCCCCACAGTGTGAGAGTCCCTTACTACCTGTCTCCTTGTGTGCGCCAGGATTTGGGGGGCCTGTGCCCATCTACAGGTGCTTCAACCCTCCCCCATGTAAATTGGATTCTGGGGTGTCTGCCTTTTTGGGAGGGGCTCAGGCCCCCTCCCTGTTCCCTATGTGAGCCAGAATCTGGGGAAGTCCTGCTCCTTTGGATGAGGTGCGGAGAACAGGAATCCTTCATGCATTTCACAAGCTCTAAAGCACTC